GAGCACTGACTTTGGTTTAGTTAGCTTCTCTCTCTCTGTCTCTCTCTCTCTGCCTGAATCGTTGTTTAAAGTTGAATTAAAAGTTGATTCAAAAATGCACTTGAATTAGGATCAGAATGTTTAAAGTGCACGAGTTGCTTTTGGATTAATTTAGGCATGCGGCTGGCAGAAATATGAAGTGATCGTTTTTGTCACATTGTAAGTTATAAATGCAAACAAGTGTTTGTTAAAGCACATTAGTTTTCTGTAGTAGTTTCAAAGAAATGAGTAAAATGAAACTTTTAAACAAGATTCAGTCGAATTAATCACAGAAAAACCAATAAAACTGTGCCCATTTTTTGTTGGTTCTTCTTCATCTGCAAAAGTTACCAAATCCAAAATATTCAGTCTTTTTTTTAAAACAATTGTAATAAAAATCACAACCGTTAAAAGTTTGCAAGCCTCAGTTTTCAGAGATTACGTCTGGATATTGAGTTAGCAGATAAAAAGTTCATGTTTAGTTTTAAAGAACCTGTGACATTAAATTTTCTTAATAAATAAGAATGCTTATTTAAAATCCATTATTAATAATATAATGCAAACAAATTACGCTGCTGACATGAACAGTTGCGATGTTTGCGTGCACAGTAACAGGAAGTGATCACAAAGGGAAATGTCTGCATGTGAACAGAGCGTTGCTACAACGGCTAACGACACAGACCAGTAAATAATCTGATGGTTTTTTGGATTATTTTGAATTACTATCAAAAACGAAGAAGAGTCGGAGTTCAAATAATTTTCTTTCAATAAACAAAAACTAGGGGGTTCTCCTTTGATGTCACTTACTGTTTCACTTTTGCCACCAAGTTAAAAGAACAAGTCAGTTATGTGAGAAAATGGGTAAAATGATGTGTATTATGCCAAATTCCTTAAATATTAAAATATTTCCACAGAATGAAAAGGTCACGTGGTTCAATGATGCTCAGATGGTGTTTAACTTTACCTTATTTTTATTACATTATATCTAGAATAACGCATGTGTTGTACATTATTAGGATTTTATAGTAGAAAATCTAATTTCAGTGTTGATCAAAGTCTTTTTTTTTTGTTTGTTTGTTTTTATGTACCTGATTAAATTTTTAACTGTTCAGCGATGCCTAATTTTTTTACAAGAAGGTGCCAAAGGCAGAGAAATAATAGATAAAAATGTTTTATTTGTGTATAAATTCCAGTATAGTACGCCTCAGAACAACTTGCCCCCATGGATGTTAGCGTCAGACATTTGGACTGTTTGGACCTGAAAAGTTCAACTAAATGACTTTTTTTCTTAAAGCTAAAGTTTCACTTTTGGATTACTTTCCATTTAGTTTAAAATATCTACTTATGCTTGTCCAATCTGAGCTGAATTGTCCTGCACTAAATAATTATTATTTTAACACACGTTATTTGTGAAACCTTTATTTTGTTAGTAAAATTTTAAAAAGGTGTAATTGCTGTGGTATTTGTGGCACTTGGCTGAACTTTAGAGCAGGTAATAACCCCCCCCCCCCCCCCCCAAAAAAAAAAAAAATAGTCTTATTGGTTTTGTAATATCCAACACTGAAAATAGATTATTTAAAATACAATTCTGTATGTATTGTATTTTACAAGTATTTTATACTTTACTGTATTTATTTTTAAAAAATAAAGGCAGTTACATTGTATATTTTTGCCATATTACACACATAGACGTATGCAAGACATGGGTTTCAGCTGTCACAGTCCTTGTTTCAAGCCACTTTTGAACAAGAGACAGCATCAGAAGTGTCTTGCCTGGGCTAAAGACTGCACTGCTGTTGAGTAGTCCAAAGTTCTCTGATGAAAGTAATTTTGCATTTCTTTTGGAAATCAAGGTCCCAGAGTCTGGAGGAAGAGAGGAGAGGCACAGAATCCATGTTGCTTGAGGTCCAGTGTCAAGTTTCCAGTCATTGATGGTTTGGGGTGCCATTTTCTGCTGGTGTTGGTCCACTTTGTTTTCTGAGGTCCAAGGTCAACGCAGTGTCTACCACGAAGTTTTAGAGCACTTCATGCTTCTTGCTGCTGACCAACTTTATGGAGATGCAGATTTCATTTTCCAACAGGACTTGGCACCTGAACACAGTGCCAAAGCTACCAGTACCTGGTTTAAGGACTGTGATATCCCTGTTCTTAATTGGCCAGCAAACTTGCCTGACCTTAACCCCAAAGAAAATCTATGGAGTACTGTGAAGAGAAAGATACGATACACCAGACCAACAATTCAGAAGAGCTGAAGGCCACTATCAGAACAACCCAGGCTCTCATAACACCTGAGCAGAGCCACAGATTGATCGACTCCATGCCACGCCGCATTGCTGCAGTAATCCAGGCAAAAAGGAGCCCCAACTAAATATTGAGTGCTGTACATGTTCATACTTTTCATGTTCACTTGACCAACATTTCTAAAAATCCTTATTTTTATTTGGTCTTAAGTAACATTCTAATGTTCTGAGATATTTTTGTTGTTTTCATTAGTAGTCGGTTATAATCATCAACAATAAAAGAAAGAAACATTTGAAATATATCAGTCTGTGTGTGTAATGAATGAATATGCTGCAATATACAAGTTTCACTTTTTGAATGGAATTACTGAAATAAATAAACTTTTTCTTGATATTCTTATTTTATGACCAGCACCTATAGTTTCTTAAAAAAAAAATAAAACACTTTTTAACCTGCAAAAGCTTTACTCTGAGGGAATTATCTTTTCACTTGTTTCTTGACTTCTTTATCAAATTAGACAATCCTTGGACTGATATGGACCAAATTAAATACTGAAGTTGCACTGGTGCAAATCCTATCAGCACCTTCCATCGTTACTGGTGTGGATAATTTTGTTTGTACCATTTTAGTTAGGTAACCCACGATGGTTGCAGAAGTCATTTCAAACTAACAAAAGTAATATTAAAGGAAGACGTTCTATGTTGCCTTAAATATTTTGCTGCACATTTTGCAGCAGTCACATGATTTCTTTAACTCTGAGACTTCTGTGCCTGTGCCTGTCCACAGGTATTCCGGCTCGCTCCAGACAGGTGTCAACTCCTTCCCCAGATGTTCAGTAGACTTTAGATCAGGGCTCAGGCTGTCACTTCAAATAATGTTTTGTTCTTAGGCATTCTTGTGTGTTTTTAACTGTTTTTGGTTACTGTCCTGTTGGAGGACCCATAATCAGTAGCTATGTTTACATGGACATAATGAAATGGCTGCTCAGAATAAAAATGCATTATTTAATTGCCCCATTCGGATTATTCTGAGCTCATTCAGCTCGATCCAAATGAATTTGTAATCCAAATGAGAGAGGTGGTTTATGCCAATTCATAATCCAAACAGTGTACATGTTCCCTCCATTGACTATGGTGACATTATTTATATGAACACCCCTACAAGCACACTGCAGATGTTCGATGTATTGTGCGCTAAGATTCATAACTGGCTGTAACTATCATACCCATCACTGCACCCTGTATTCACTGGTTAACTGGTCATCATTAACTTCACGCAGACTCTCTCACTGGTACATTTTCATCTTTGAATCTCTTCTTGGTCATGTTGCTTTCGTACATCTCCTCCTACATGTCACTGCATGAGAGCAGCTACAGCGTGCGCTCTCAGGACATTATTACCTGCAGTGTTCCCTCTGTGAGGACTGAACTAGGCAAAACCTTCTCCTACTCCGCTCCTGTTTCCTGGAATATCTTGCAAAAAGATCTGAAGCTCTCGACCTTGACTTCTCTGTGGCTTCAAACATCTGCTAAGTTCATGGGAAAAACCAGTGCAGACATGTTCTTGTTTTTAGTTGGTTTTTTTACATTGCCTTACAACCTATCTGTTTTTTTTTTTGTTTGTTTTTTGTTACATCTTCTTTCACTTGTTCTCATTGTATGCATCCTTTATGATTATCTTTTGTTGTCCACTGTTGTTACCACTCTTTGTTTAAAAAAACAAGTCTCTCTTGTAAATGTGTCCCCAAGGCTCAGGGATTAACCTTTTACATAAAGGTTGAAATGAATAATCTGATCATTTTATTCTGGTTGTGGAAAACTGACCTGACTGCGCATGTGCGACATACGTCGACCTTACGTATTTCCGTCCATAGACATAAATACGTAGACGCCTTATTGAGCGGGAGCCCATTTGTGGTACGTCGAGCGTCCGCCATTTTGAATGTGGCAGAAGTGCCGGTCAACCAATACAATTAACTTTTCATTCAACCTTTATTTAAACAGGTTTATCCCATTGAGCCTCAGGGACTTATTTACAAGAGAGACCTGATAAATGGACCTGAAATGGACTGAACCTCATTAAGCACCATTCTACAACGTGTTTTAAATTAATCCCTGTCATTCACACACACTAATCTGGAAAACAAACAGGCACCAAAGACATTTGTAACTTTCAACGTGATTATTAAAAATATTACTTATTAATCACTTCGATGAACATATATACACCAATATATATTTACATATATATATGTATATGAAGCTCAGTCCTCGCCTCCTTCTACAGGTGTGCAGTGGAGAGCATCCTGTGCTCGAGCATCAATGTGTGGCATGGAGGCTGCACAGCTGCAGAAAGAAAAGCTTTGCAGAGAGTGGTGAAGGCTGCACAGAAATCTGTTGGAGTCAGTCTCCCCACCATCACAGACATCTACACCTCCAGATGCAGGAAGAGGGCCACCTGCATCATGAAGGACCCCACTTACCCAGCACACACACTTTTTGCCCCACTCCCCTCAGGAAGGAGGTTAAGGAGCATTAAGTGTAGAACCACTAGACTGAGGAACAGCTTCTACCCTGAGGCTGTTAGACTCATGAATCTCTAACTAGAATAATCACTGTGAAAAACCATATCATGTTGCTGCTGATCTGTTTCATGTTGCTGCTGATCTGTTTAAATGTTGATGTGTTCATGCGTGCACATCTGCTCACAGACTCATGTTCATGTTTGTGCTGATGTTCAATGTTTTATGTTATGAGTGCTTAGTGTATATTAAGTTGATGTTCTTCTTAGTTCATATCTTAGATGTTATTACTGTTTTTCTTATACATTTTATTGTTGGATGTAACTGGGACCTTGTGTACATAATTTCGCTCCACCACATGTACCACATGAGGTGCGGATGACAATAAAGAAACTCTGACTCTGATATACATATATATACTGGTAAATATATATATGTATACATATATATGTGTGTGTGTATATATATATATATATATATATATATACATATATATGTGTGTGTGTATATATATATACATATATATGTGTGTGTGTATATATATATATATATATATATATATATATATATATATATATATATATATATACATATATATATATATAGTAGCTAGATAGAGATAGATGTTTATGTTCATCGATGTGATTAATCATAATCAATTAAATGTGAATGTTAGTGCTGTTTATTCAGAAAATCCACATAGTTGCACAGATTAAATGTTAAATATGAATATTTCTATATTTATCACCACATTAATAGTGTTACACGTTAGTCGTTATAAAAACTCAAAACATGTTTAGTGCTTTACTAATCTAAACATTTAGGGAGTAAACATTTTAATAATCACGTTAAAAGTTACAAATGTTGTCTTTGGTGCCTGTTTTGCGTGTGAATGACAGGGATTAACATAAAGCACTTTGTGGAACGGTGCTTAATGAAGGTCAGTCCAGTTCTGCCACATTCAACATGGCGTCGACGTACGTTCAGCGCTCAAAGAGGCGTCTACGCACATATGTCTATGTTTCAGCCTAGCTAATGCTAAATGCTAATATGTCGGGGAAGCAAAATTGGTCGGCGAGCGATACAACATTTCTAATAGAAACTTTGAAAGAGCTCAGAATTATTGAACGCCTTGATGGTCGAAAGTGTAAGAACACGGAGTTATTTCGACAAGTACACAAAAAGCTGCATGAAGCCGGAATCTACAGAACAATTGATCAAATAAAAAATCGCTGGAAATGCTTGAAAGCTAGCTACTACAAAACAAAGAACAAGAACGGAAAAGGTGGCTGCGACCCCGCCAGTTTTTCATTTTACGCGTTGATGGACAAGCTCATGGGAGATTCAGGTTTGTTTATGTTCATCACGGAAGTAGAACTTCTTCTTCTTCTGTGCTTTTTTTAAAGGAAAGTTTACCACTCTGCGCATGTCGGCGCTTCTATTCTGAATAAAAGCCCGCAGCACGTAAAGTTGTAAACGCTCGTCAGATCGGATTGTGTCCATGTACTTTTCATTCATTCAACCCTTATTTAAACAGGTTAGTCCCACTGAGCCACGAGGACTCATTTACAAGAGAGACCTGAATTATAAACATACATTACATTTCATTTGGCGCATGTAAACAGTGACTGCTGGATGTGGGAACCAGTGACCACCCAGTGACCGGAAAAGGAAGGAGCTGGTAAAAGATCATGGATAATGTACTACAGCAGTTAAAGAACGTAACAAGGCATTTAAAATATTACAGAACAATTTAACAACGGAAAATCTTATTGAATATAAAAGGAAAAGAGCAATAGCTCGTAAAACTATTAAGGACGCAAAAAAAGAAAACATGGAGAGAATATTGTTCTTCAATAGGTTCAGAAATAAAATTACAAAACGTTTGGTCAATGTTTAGGAAAATGACTGGGAAAAGGAATGATGTTAAAATACCAACCTTAATCAGAGGTCAGGAGATATTGGTGTTAAATAAAGATAAGGCAGATTTATTAGGCGAGACATTTGCTGCAGTTCATAGTGGGGAACATCTTACAGACATTCATAGACAGCAGAAGACTCAAAAACTTGGAAAGCATAAAAAATATTTTGGAGAAATGTAAAAAATATATGACAACATTAGACATGGAAATAACCATGAAAGAACTTAAAACAGTATTGAAAGGGACAGGTTATTCAGCTCCAGGGGAGGATCAATTATGCTATGCTATGTTTCGACAGATTCCGGAAGTAACATTGAAATTAATATTAAAACTGTTTAATAAAATATGGAAAGAAGGTTTAATACCAAATAACTGGAAAAGGGCAACAATACTGCCGTTCAATAAACCAGGAAAAAATCCTATCAGTCCGAATAATTATAGACCAATAGCTTTAACATCTCATTTAAGTAAATGGATGGAGAAAATAATGGTCAATAAATTAGGATATGTTCTTGAGCATAGGAAACTACTTAATGGATATCAGTGTGGCTTTAGAACAGGGAGATCAACAATGGATGCACTAACTAGAATCAGTAATGACATAGAGAAAGCTTTAAAAATGAAGGAAATAATGATTATAATATTTTTTGATATAGAAAAAGCATATGATTCATTATGGAGAGAAGATTTTTACTTATAAAAATCAAGCAGATGGGAATAGGTGGGAAAATGTATAATTGGATAGCAAATTTCCTGATGGATAGAAAAATTAGAGTGAAGATTGGGAATGATTATTCAAAAGAATTTAATGTGGAAAATGGAGTTCCTCAAGGTAGTGCAATCAGTCCAATTTTATTTAATATTATGATTAATGATATCTTTTCTGATAATGATAAATGTATAAAATCTGCACTATATGCAGATGATGGGGCCATATGGATGAGGGGAAAGAATATAAAACATGTCGTAGGAAAAATTAGGAAAGCAATTAGTAAAGTAGAAAAATGGTCTTATGAATGGGGTTTTAAATTATCAGCAAGCAAGTCTTGTTTTATGGTTGTTACAAATAAGAGAAATAGTGATATAGGAACATTAACATTATACGGACAACCTTTGGAAAGGGTAGCAGAATTTAAATATCTTGGACTATGGTTGGATAGTTCTTATACATGGAAAACACATATAGAAAACTTAGAAACAAAATGTAAGAAAGTTATAAATCTACTAAAAGCTGTGGCTGGAAATGATTGGGGTGCAGATAGACAGTCACTATTAAACATATACAGGGCTCTCATGAGATCAATAATAGATTATGGCAGTTTTATATACGGAGCAGCAGCAAAAACATCATTACAAAAGATAGATAGGTTACAGAGTAGGGCTTTACGTATATGTACAGGAGCAGTGAAAACGACACCTGTTAATGCTCTTTTAATAGAGACTGGAGAGACCCCACTGGAAATGAGAAGAATAAAATTAGCTCTAGTATATTGGATGAAAATTAAAAGTAGTAAGGAAGATAATGCAACTACAACAATTTTACAAAACTGTAAAAATGGATTTGGATGGACTGTAAACAAGTTGATTAAAATGTATGGATTAGAGAATAAGGAAATAGCAAAGTTTAATCTGATTAGTGTTATTCCTCCACGGCTATTTCCTGAGGTAAATGTGGACATGAAACTTCTTAAAATGAAAAATGACTGGAATTTAAATGAAATAGGGGTAAAGACAGACATATAAGAAACTCATATTCTAACTACCTTAAAATATATTCAGATGGCTCTAAGAATTTAAAAGGATGTGTGGGAAAAGGAATATATGTACAAGAATGTAAAATGTACATTTCTCAAAGATTATCAGATCAACTATCTGTCTTTACAGCAGAAATGGTAGCAGTTATGCTGAGCTTACAATGGGTAGAGGAGGTTAGACCAGACAGGGTGGTGGTGTGCACGGATTCCAAAGCAGTTATAGAAAGTATTCAGGGAGAAGGAAATAATAGGAAAGAGTTAGTATTAGAAATTCAACACTGTTTATTTAGACTATACAGGGGTGGCATTGATGTTTGGTTCTGTTGGGTTCCAGCACACGAAGGTGTAAAGGGCAATGAAAAGGCAGATAAACTAGCAAAAAGGGCGCTAGAGGGGGCAATAACAATTACAATCCCTTTTGGGAAAGGGGAAGGGAAATCACTTATTAAAAGTAAAGAAATAGAAAAATGGCAAACAAGATGGAATGAACATAAGAAAGGAAGAAGTTTCTATAATGTACAAAAGTCAGTATTAATTAGAAAAATCACTGAGAAAAATAGAAGGGAAGAAATAATCATGTTCAGATTAAGAGTAGGTCATACCTATTTAAATGATAATTTATATTTAATAGGGAGAAAACAGAATGATAAATGTGAAGGGTGTGGAGAGAAAGAAGATGTAGAGCACATATTGATGAACTGTAAAACATATGAACCTGAAAGGGAGAAACTGAGAAGAATGGTTAGAAGGACAGGTCAAGAATGGAGTCTTAAAGGAATATTGGGAAATGAAGGAAACATAATGGATATTTACAGAATAAGAAAAGCAATATTTACTTTTCTGCAAAATACTAGGTTAAAAAATAGAATTTAATAGATGTGAAGTAGTGTTGCTACACACTCGTGTACAGTAGGTGGCGGTATGCACCTTAAAGTTGCTTGCGATCCGCCATAATAGAAAAGAAGAAGAAGAAGATCATGGATGGATGGTTTATGTAGGGGAAATAAATGTCAGTATGCTTTAGACTCGTTTTTTTTTTTTTATCTTTGTTGAAATATGTGGAAAGCAGCCTGTGCTTAATATTTAAAAAAAAAATCTGAATATAGTTTAAGAAAAGCCACTCAGACCCTGCATGTTTTTTTTGTTTTTTTGCTCTATTTGGAATTGATATGTCACAAACTTTTTCTCCCTGGTTTTTGTTTTGATTTTCATGCACATGCCTATAAGTCAGGTGGGCTCACTAATTATATATATCTATATATATATATACAGGTCCTTCTCAAAAAATTAGTATATTGTGATAAAGGTCATTATTTTCCATAATGTAATGATAAAAATGAAACTTTCATATATTTCAGATTCATTGCACACCAACTGAAATATTTCAGGTCTTTAATTGTTTTAATACTGATGATTATGGCATACAGCTCATGAAAACCCAAAATGCCTGTCCCAAAAAATTAGCATATCATGAAAAGGTTCTCTAAACAAGCTATTAACCTAACCATCTGAATCAACAACGTAACTCTAAACACCTGCAAAAGATTCCTGAGGCTTTTAAAAACTCCCAGCCTTGTTCATTACTCAAAACCGCAATCATGGGTAAGACTGCCGACCTGACTGCTGTCCAGAAGGCCATCATTGACACCCTCAAGCAAGAGGGTAAGACACAGAAAGAAATTGCTGAACGAATAGGCTGTTCCCAGAGTGCTGTATCAAGGCACCTCAGTGGGAAGTCTGTGGGAAGGGAAAAGTGTGTATATATATATATATATATATATATATATATATAATCGGCTGCTCCCTTCTTTAGGGATTTGCCACAGTGAACTAACTGTGTGGAGCAGAGCTGCTATCTAGGGCACCCAGGGGAGCAGATGGTGGGTTCAGGGCCCACGGTGGGGTAAATGAGGGTGGAGGCAGGTGGGTGTTTCACCTATCCCACCCACGTTTTGATGTCGGTAGGAGTTGAACCGGCGATCTTCCGATCACAGGCCCACCTTCTCTACCCTCTGCGCCACCACTCCCTTGCTCACTACTCATCAGTATGATGCTATATTGTGTTTGAAGCCATTGAACTGGCTCTATAGTTGTTAAATATGAAACATGCTCATACTCTGTGGCTTTACAAACCACAGGACTTCTACATGCCACACTGCGGCGCCGTTTTATAAATCTAAATTTGTTATTTCGGTTTATGAAGCGTTAGTGCCTTGTGTCGAATGCTGTAATTTAAAAAAAAATTTTTTGTAGGAATTCAGCTGAATTTATTTTCATGAGGAGAACTGAGCCTGAGCAGGTTAACAGACGCTGCAGCAGCCAAACTGTCAGAGACTCGTTTGTTAGATCACATCCTCAAAGTCCCCAAATGATTTTACAAGAGAAACATTTTTTTTTGTTTAATTTTGACTTTTCACATCATGGAATTCAGTCTTTGTATTTGTCATCTCATGTGCTTCTTCTCAAACATCTTGCAGTAAATCCCTCATGTCAGTCTCACCTCGTTGTTTCCTCTCTCAGCTCTGAATGCTCAGGCTGCGTTGGCTCAGGTGAGAGAACGGCAGCTCGCAGCCCAGTCCCCTCCACCGACCCACGCCGCTCAGCTCAACGGAGGTGCCAGCAGCAGTCAGTCAGGTGGGACGGTTGCTCAGCCCAAACTAGAGCACTGCGAGGGAGCTGCTGCTGCTGGTGGAAGAGCCCTTCTGCCTCCGCCGGCTGTCCCGGCTCCTTCAGCTCCTGCCGCCCCCACCGCAACGCTGACGCCCATTCGTCCCCCCGTTTCTCCTCAGAGCTCCACCCTCCGACCTGTGCTGCAGGAAGCAGAGGAAGCAGTTCTCACTAAACTTCGCTGGGCCACCACCCAGCTACAGAGTTCATCGTCGCCAGAGGCGAGCATCGAGCTGTGCAGCCTCATCACCAGCTGTGCCAGCTCGCTGCGCAGCCTCAAGGAGCTCAGCCAGTAACGACAGTGGACTGGTGGAAACCAAGGAGTGAC